GTAAGTTGTATGCTTATGTGGGCTTTGTACTATACATGTTTGTGAGTTGCTTGTCCATGCTGCTATTTACACGGAGTAGCGATCGGGAGATAACAGCACCCGTCCCCACCGATAACTCACGTCAACTTACGATCAACCGCGATAGAGTATTAGTTTTCGAAACGTTCGGCAATAAGGATCAAGAAGGTGGGCCCCACAGCGGCGGCTGCGCGATATGCTTGGAGGAATATAAACACGGGGATACTCTGGCGGGAATCACTGCGTGTAAACATAGGTACCATGTCGCTTGTATTACGGCGTGGCTCGTGAAGAACGATACTTGCCCGATTTGCCGAAGTACCGATCTTGTTTGAGTTAATTAATTATATTGTAGTTTTTGTACATTAATTAAAGTTAATAATTAGAAGTTATTGGTATCTTTTAATGGACTTTAATCTGTAACATCTTTTTTTTTATTATTAATGGAAATCCAAAGGCATCATTGTTAGGAATTAAATTCTGATTTATTGTTCTAATTTATTTTTATTAGCAAAAACCCCCTACAATTGAAAAAAATTAAAAACAAACACATAAAAAAAATTCATCAACTAGGATATTACGAGCTAAAAAACCACAATGTGTGGTGATTTATGTTTATTGAAATGGCAAAAGGACTTCATAGCAATTTAAAATAACACGAGGAGTATTTTGCAATTTATGACTTCCACTCCATGTATAAACTCTCTTCTTGAATCTTAATTATTTCTAATCTTCTAGTCAGGTTGGAACTCTACTTCGAACAAATTAAATAGGATTTTCTATATCTATATATAAACCCTCCTCTTGGATTAATGTAGTCCAAATTAATTGAAGGCAAAATCAAAATACGATCTAATATATTATTCTTCCACTAATTAAAGTTTCCATCAATTTTCAAGAAAAAAAGTCTTAATTGATCGTTAATCATGGGCAATTATTTAGTACTCGTGTTAATGGTTGTTATAGGAGCATTAGTACTCATAGCTCAATTGTATTTCTTATGGTTGATCGGGCGAAGGGAGGACGATATGCAATTACCGGAAGTAGCGCCAGCACAACCACCGCCAGCTGAGGCGGCGAAGACAAAGCGGCTCGGTGGCGGCGATGAAATAGTTTTCGACACTTTTATTCAAGAGAAAGCAAAGGAAGAAGGCGGATGTGCGATCTGTTTGGTGGAGTATAAAGATGGCGAAACCCTAGCGGCGATTACCGTTTGCAAGCATAGGTATCATGTGTTTTGTATTAGGGCATGTTGAAGGAGCATGACACGTGTCCCCTTTGTAGAACTCAAGTTTGAGTATATTAGATATTGTAATAGTAATTTATTTTGTTTTGAAAATAAGATTGTTGACACTTTTAGTATCTGAATTTGATTATGGACGATGATTTCTACTCCGTGAAAGATTAGTAAATCGAGCTTGAGAGTTTTGGCGAGCTCGAGTTCCAAAATATATTATTCGAAAATATGTAATAATCCGTGTTGTATTTTAATTATTTAAGAATTAGAAGACGGTGATAGTATCATATATGAATTCTTATGTAAGTCTAGATTTATTTTCTGCGTTTATTTAGAATCAAAACGTATTCTATAAAAAAAAAATATTGTAAACTAATAATTCATCTTTCTCCAAAAATATCTTGTATATGGTAACTTTCATATATATATATATATATCTTGGATTAA